TTCTGGTGAATGAACCAGATGCATGTTTTTTTTTTTTTTTTTTTTTTTTTTTTTTGTGATCTTGTATGCTACACAAATATAAAGTGCTGTCTCTTAATTGGTTTAGCTAGATATCTTCTTGTGCTTTGCCTTAATTGAATAAACAGACATAACAACTTAACAGCAATCACAAAAAGCTTGCAAATGCTTGTAGACACTCTAAGCAAAAAATCGGGAGATAGAAACGTACCAATTTAGTTGAAGAATTAAAGATGCTATTTCCTGTGTTACAATAAAGCACTAACTGCTGTCTAAGTAATAACTAAGTATAGTAATAACTAAAAAGGCTAATCTTTGGTATATAGTAACAGGTAGTTTGGCGACATTTTGGTAAGGCGATAAAGGTTACTAGCTAGGCCTTTAGCAGTGTACATGGATAAAGTCAAGAGTGTGCGCAATGCCATTTTTGTGCAATTCTGAGATGTTTTTTTACGTGAAAATAGGTTGACGTGTACATGGATGCTGTGTATGTGCAATTCTTAAACACGTGGCAAGCAGTTTGCGATTCTGCACTTTCTCCCAATTTCGCACCTAATCTTCGTCATGATTAAGCACTTTTTTTTTTCCATAAAAGTTCTAGCATAAGCGTAATTCGGCTAGCAGATTGTTGGAAAAAAACGTTAAGTAAAAAAAAAAAAAAAAAAAAATGCCTTTACTTCGTGAAAACAAAATGGCGTCCAAACAAAAACTAGCAGGTTGCTGTAGCAGGGTTGGTCGCCAAATTTTCGCCAAAAAAATTCCGGTTGATCTTTACAATATGGTAACTGGTAGTTTGGCGACATTTTGGAGGCAATAAAGGTTACTACCTGGCACTTTGGTAATAATGTGAGCAGTACTCAGTTCCGATTACGCATTATTTTGTGTGAGGGAAATGAGAGATCATGGGATATGTCATGTGATATTAATGGACGAATTACGGTTCTTTAATTGAAAAAGGGGGGAAATCGGGAAAAAATCTGGAAATTTTGTATTTGGCTTTATTCTGTGTTGTGTGAAACAGTGTTCGTGAATTTTTGGATCCCTTGGCCGTAACTAAAGTGAATTCGAAATGGGTATTTATGTATGTATTAATTTAATGTATGTGCTCATTTATATTTTAAGTAGTGTTTTTGAATTTAATTATATTTTAATTAAATGATAGTTATTTTGTAAATTTTATGTTTGTAGGAATTTGGTATACGTTTTAGTTGAAGTAAACGTGCATGGAAATAATATAAATATCTGACATATATGTTCTTTTTACCGGGTTTAAAGATTGAGAAAATTGTCATGTATTTTCGTGAAATTTTTCTAATTTATGAGAAAAAAGCAGTGTACATGGATATAGTGAAGAGTGTGCGCAATGCCATTTTTGTGCAATTCTGGGATGTTTTTTTAAGTGAAAATAAGTCGGCGTGTACATGGTTTAGTGATATTTTAATTAAATGATAGTTATTTTGTGAATTTTATGTTTGTAGGAATTTGGTATATGTTTAAGTTGAAGTAAACGTGCATGGAAATAATTTAAATATTTGATACTAAGTATTTGTAATGCTTTGCGGTATGAATTCGTTGGTGACGTGTATAATGTAATAGATGATTTAGAGGTAAAAGTTTTTGGATATTTTATTTATTTTATATGTGGAAATGTTCATATTTGGAAAGGGTAAATACTTTTTCGCGATCAGGTAATTTCATATATGTTCTTTTTACCGGGTTTAAAGATTGAGAAAATTGTCATGTATTTTCGTGAAATTTTTCTAATTTATGAGAAAAAAGCAGTGTACATGGATATAGTGAAGAGTGTGCGCAATGCCATTTTTGTGCAATTCTGGGATGTTTTTTTAAGTAAAAATAAGTCGGCGTGTACATGGTTTATGTGTATGTGTTATTGTGAAAAAACGCGTAAGGAGTATGGTATTGTGCACTTTTTCCCAATTTTGCAGTGAATATTTGTCATGATTAAGCAGTTTTGTTAGATAAAATTTCTAGCATAAGTGTAATTCGGCTAGTAGATTGTTGGAAGAAGTGTTCAGTAGATAAAAAGAAAAGAAACATGTCTTTACTTCGTGAAGACAAAATGGCGGCGGGAAAAAAAAATAGAGGTTGCTGTAGGAGAGTTGGTCGCCAAATTTTCGCCAAAAAAACGCCAAGTTACCATAATGTAAAGATCAACCAAAATTCCGAGTTACCATACTCCAAAGATTAACCATTAAAAAAAAAGACTTACTACTTATAAAGATACCTTTCTTGGTACTATTCGGTTTCGAGGGCTGTAAAAATTCGCCAAACTATTGTTGATGCCAATGCTGCCAAAAATAATTGCGGCAAGAAACGAAGTATGTTTTAATTTAGATGAAAGGTTAATTTAATATAATACTCTTTTATTATTATAATTTATATGAAATAGGCTAAACATGACTGAATGGAAGCATAAGAGTAAATAACTATTTCTGATCATTATTATAATTTATATAAAAATTGCTAAACATAACTGAATGGATGCCTGCATCGCTATTTCGCTACCGACTTGTTGCTAAAGCATAATTTCATCTCTTTGGTTGTTCAAACGTAACTTTCTATAATGGATGATGCCTTTTCTTTGAAAATATTCTCGGTAAAGTGCAGAATCTTGTTTGCCGCTTTTTACAAGAGTAAAAACAATTGGATTTTTGTCAATTTTCTTTTACTTTTTAAGTGAAAATAGGTCGATGTGTACATAGATAAAGCCAAGCCAAACATTCTTCGCAGTGCCATTTTTGTGCAATTCTGGGGATTTTGTTTTAAAGTGAAAATAGGTCGATGTGCACATGGATACCGAGTTTGTGCAATTCTTAAAAATGCGTCAAACAGTGGGTGATTCTGCACTTTACCCAAAATTCTATTGCCGACTTTTCGTCATGGGCAATTCCCAAATTGTTAAATCCATAGGATATTAAAAAAGGATTTAAAATCAAAAAAGGATTTAAAAATTAAACTAGTATTTCAATGGCGTCTTAAGAAATATAGAACTACATAAACTTATGCAATCTGAAATCAGCGCGTACGCTAGATTTGGCGCGCTGTTAAATGGGTGCGTTTGCTACATTTGGAGCTTTTGTGCATACATTTTCGCTGCAATTTTTTACGGTCTTCAAAATGGAATAGTACCCCTTTCTTAATGTGCTATTAAATAGACATAATTTTACTCCATTATTCCGATTTCTTTATAGAACCACAGATTTTACAAAACAAAGGAAAACAAAGTACCCTTTTGAAGAGGGCTTTCTTAGAGGCTCTTATATTACGCATAAAAAAAAAAAAAAACTGTGAAATGACTTTTAATTGATAGGCATAATTTAAGAGTCAATCACTCTTCATCACCTAAAAAAAGCACTCATTTGGTATACTGAAGGTTTAACTATTTGTGACATATTCAAAGCAAAACTTCAATGATGAACGATCATTAGCATTACTAGTTTTTAATACAATATCAACACAAATATTATGCTACAAAAAATTGCCAAACATCAGTTCCAACCGATATTCTGCATTTAAGTGACAACACTGTGGGAAAAAAATTATAATAATAATTCATTTGTTTATGTCCATGTTACAGTTTAATGAGGATGAACGTTCATTGCATTTTAATTTATATGCATATTTGTTATTCAGAAGTCTAACATAACAAAGTTACCAAACATGTCGGACTGAGTATATAATAGCTCAGCATCTACAATGAATAAAAAATTTTTGTCAAATTAATTTTATTTAAAATCCATAACTTTTTCTTTCATTTCTAATTATTTTAATGATAATAATTATATATTACAAAAATATGATAATAAGTAACATAACTAAACCCAGAAATATATGACGAAAAAATTTTTTTTTGTTAGAACAATCTGTTCTTTAAAAATGCACCAATTACAGGTATAAACTAGAAACAAATTGGGGCTAGGTGATTATTAAAATTAAAGTACACCCGTACATATAATTGCGTACATAAAATCTATGCATTTTCCTGAATTTTATTAAAATTAATTTTTTATGGCGAGTTGTCATTTAAACTAAAACTGCTGTTGCAATACCTAAAATTTGCATTCTCACTTTTTCCTTGGCAGCTAGCCTAGAAAAGGTCTCTGACACTTTAATCTATTTTTATAACAACAAGCACAAGAAGCTGCATACTTTCAAAATTACTCTTAAGAGTTTCTCCCGTCGACGAAAATAATACAGAATTTTTAAAGAAGCTAATGTCAAATAACATAATTAATAAACAACATTTAAGCAGCTCAGCACTGTATTGTATAAACCCAAATGCTACTAAATTAGTATACTGTATACACATCTCTCATCTTTAGCTTTAAAACATAATTCTATATTGATCAGAGCTATGACTTATCAGTATCAGTAAAAACACAATGTTTCATAAATAAAAGAGCCAGAAATAAAATATTTCCTACTTTGGATTATTTTCACTCATATTCAACTTTCTCAAAGACAGAAAAAAGTATTTATAGAATTTATAGCAATTTTAAACCTGTCACATTTGTTTCAAACTTTCACCAAAATTCGCAACTTGAAACAGAAACTTTATTCCGATAAATATATTGCTCGTGGCGCGTGACACACTTCGTATCAACACGATAAATAATTTAAACAATATGTAAGAATTAGTTAAAAACACTTAAAAAAATATTAAATTTACAAATATTCAATAAAACCAATTTTTAATTTATAAGCAATGAAATTCACAAGCGCTAATACTATTTATTTTTCAGACACACGCATACACACACACATATATAGCTATATATAGTTCTTACATGTATGATCCTCAGAAATTCTAGATTAAAAAATAAAAAAAATTGAAACCTAAGAGATTGCTTTCTGGTTAAAAGATTTTGTCTCTAAAGGAATTTTAACGATTCTTCGTGTGTCTAAGGGCAAAAATTATTTACAATTAAAAAATTAGACAATGCAATTTTTTTTAATCTGGCAACTCTCTGTCTCGTTAAGTCATTCCTATCATCTCTGGTTTCAAAATCATGAGTTTGGTATAAGTTTTCGAGGGTAATTCACTTGAAGTTTATTTAAATTCTATTTTAGAGTAATTATATTTATTTTAGATTAAAACTTAACAACTCACGTCACTAAATGGCTCTGAAAAGAATAAAAAAGGAATTAGAAGATTTGAAACGTGACCCTCCGGCACAATGTTCCGCAGGACCTGTGGGGGATGACTTATTTCATTGGCAAGCAACTATCATGGGCCCGCCGGACAGTCCATATCAAGGAGGAGTATTTTTCTTGACGATTCACTTTCCCACAGACTATCCTTTTAAACCACCGAAAGTAGCTTTCACGACTCGAATATACCATCCTAATATAAATAGTAATGGCAGCATTTGTTTGGACATCTTACGCTCTCAGTGGTCACCGGCCTTAACAATATCTAAAGTTCTGCTGTCTATTTGTTCCTTATTATGCGATCCAAATCCAGATGATCCATTAGTTCCAGAAATTGCAAGAATCTACAAAACTGATCGAGAAAAGTACAATGAATTAGCCAGAGAATGGAGCAGAAAATATGCTATGTGATAAACACATGCATTTCCTAAATTTATGTTTTCTACATTTGGTGTATTTTTAGACACTTTATCTTTTAGTAAAATTGTTCACTTTCCATGTCTATTCTCTATTATATTTTTTGAAGAGCTAATGTGAGAAGTATAGAGCTGAAAATTAGACTGGTAGAGTGACTGTAATATGTATTATAATTTATGTATTAAAATGTATACAAGATTGTATATTAATAATCCTTTGAGGAAATTAGCCACGCATTTTACGAAATACAAATATGAAAAGTTATTCAAATTTTAATATTGTTTAATTATGATTATTGTTGTATGAATTTCTTTGTGAAAAGTTTATCAGAACATATGTTATTTATTCTTACTTGAAAGTAACTCAGCTTGCCATATAACATTTCTTTAGATAAATATATATTTCTTGTGCCAAGAAATATCTGAAATTATCAAATTGAGAAATGGTTAGTGTATTATTCAACAGAAAACATTTGCCAGTGCCAAAAGCTAGAATGCAAATCATTTATCATATCAAGAAGAAGAAAAAAAAAAAAAAAAAAAAACTTATTCAGGAATCATTCTATGAATATAAATTATTTTAGAATAATTTGTGTACTAATATGTTTGCTATTTTTAGTTTTAATTTGTTTGCTTTCTGAATGTTATATATTTACACATATCTGTGCCTCTTTCAACTAATGTGCATAATCAATAATGTAAATAGTGCAGTTTTTTTTAAAATATAAATTTTAAGAAGTGTGTCACCATTTTTAGAGTGCTATTCAATTATTTATGAAAGCTTTTTTTATCATAATTTTAAGTAAACATTAATCATGTGTCATTAAAAATGTGTTTGCTGTGTTTTCATATATTGTGTGGTTTAAGATGTCTTTATGATGCTCATACTTTTAAGAAATGTTTCATATAATTTTTTTTTTTTTTTTTTTTTTTTTTGTGTGTGTGTGTGTGCAGAGTAAATAATTTCAAGAGCTGCTTCATGTATGAACTTGAAAATTCTTTATTTGTATGGGAATAATGCAAAGTGATTAACGATATTATATTTTATTTATTAGTTTTCAAGTTTCTTTATGTAAACAATATTTTGCAAGCTTTTTTGCATTTTTCTTAAATTTAATAAGATTTAGTGTTTTTTGATTGAATAATATTTGATAAATCCTCTGAAAGTAATTACTTTAAAAATGTGATGTAATATGCGCAGTCTAAAAATTCATGATTTGATTATAAGTCTGCCTGTAAATATTTGACATTACTGGTATGTTAGTCTTATTTATATATAGAATATTGTAATAAAATGGGAAAATACAGGATGTATTTTTACTGAAAATATTTAACAAAATATTAAATAAGTAATTTGAGATATTTCATGTCATACTGTTTCTTTCGGTGATACAAATAGGCCAGTATAAAATAATACAGTAAATGTTTAATTCAGGATACTTTTGATAATTTAAGTTGAATGCCAGGTAGTGTTTTCATATTTAGGATGATGCTAAACTTCTGTTAATGATCACATTTGAATTTTTTCCTGTTACTATGCATTTTAATATGTTATTTAACCCTCTGGCTGATCATCCTGTGATTTCCACGGACAACTCGAATGTAGCAAAATTCGCTCATCCCGCGATTTCTGTGGGCATATGTTTTTCTTCCTTTATTGAGGAGTGCATCCCATTTTTTCCCCGTTTAACCATTGAAATAAATTATATACAGTATTAGGTATTCAGTTTACATTTTGGCCTACGGATATCGTTAGTTGTCTAGTAAATTGCGGCATTTGAAGGCTTGTGGTATTAGCCCTCAAACTTCATTTTTTGTCGTTTTTTTCTTACAGAAATGGCTGCTAGAAAATGTTCAGCGATTATCTTGATTATTTAATTAAATTATTGAATTATTGATTAGATTAATAATTAGATTGATCATGAATTAGATTTATTGAATCTAGTGCAAAGACTGTGAAGTTTGAACTCTGTCATACTAAATTGCATTTTTAAGGTATTTTTCTGTCAACGCTTTATATTTTCTTCAATTTTATACATCTGACTTTTTATATTATGCAATAAATAGAAATTAACTGTAATTTGACTGAAATTTATTTAAAAAAAGATTTTTTTTGTGATAACATCTGACATTTGTTTTTCTGGCAACTTAATTTCTCATGATATAAATCTATATAAAAAAATATTTTCTAGAAAGAAAAAGTGCATTTCTCAATTCTTATATATATATAGATTTAAAATATGCACCCAAAAGAAAAAAAAACACCGCAATTTTGGAAGCGATTTTGGTTCACAAATTGGGCAGTCAGAGAGTTAAACAATATTTATACTTGTGTTTTTGGCTTGATAATTTTGTTTCAAATTTTATCTCACATGATTAGAAAAGTAAACACATTGCACTCATTTTTTTGTTTAAAAATAATGGTTCATTGTATAGACTTTAATAGCTGGCTATCATAATACGAATGAATTTTCTTTAGTATAAGTATTCAGTTTCGTGCATTAAAACTTTCTTCATAAATTTGTAATTACTTGTAATCTGATAATAAGACAGTTTAAATGTATCGTAATTGTCATATATATCAAGTTTCGTAAATTTTTATACAGTCAAACTTTGATAAAGCCAAACTGAAAACAGCTGTTAAACATTTCAAGTAAATCAAAATTCACTTTATTGAAACAAAGTTAATAATTTCTTTGTATTTTGTTATTCAGTTCAACTTATTGAAGTTCTACTGTATATCACATATTTTAAATTTATTTTTATACATTGGAATATTTCTGAAGATTATTAAGACTTGTTGAGAAAAATCTCATGAAGTATGAAATATAGTTAGAGGTAATTAGAACTTATAGAAAATAAAATTTAAGCTTACTCATTAAAACTCTTCTGATCTTAGAATATTATGGGGTCAGAATTTAATATTTACTTGTATCCTTTCTATGCAATAATATACTGAGTATGTACTTTGTATGAAATTTCATAGATTACAGTATTTTTACTAGCATTAACAATTCAGCAAAATGTGTTATTTTAATAACCATATTCTTATTAAACTGTTATTTTGATATTTTCTGAATGTATCTTTTGCATATCATACAGCTGGACTTTTGTTACTACTGTCTACTATGAAATAAAAAATGGATTAAATATAAAAATTTATTCATCTGTTCATATATAAATAGCATATTAATTACTTTTTATTTGAATCAGTCAAGCAATTTATTTAATTATATGCGCTCTGAATGTGAGACATTGCTGTGTAATTTTGATTCTGATAGGCTTGGAAAATAAAAGTTTAAAATACGATTTTGCATTCTCTTAAAATCACAGTTTACTTTTACATTCACTTAATGTATAGCATGGATGCAACAAAGTACCGCAGGACGCCGCCATTTTATTTTAGAAATTGAAAGTTACGGTTCCGTTCGAATTTTAAAATAATAATGAATAATATGCGAAATTCCTGTTTCCTAATCGTTGGACAGCGCTCAATTTTACCTCATCTCTCTTCAAAGGTTTAATTGGTTATGAAATTCACCTCGTAGCTGGTACCTGAAATTAATTAAATGCATAGGACTTTCGGGTTTTGTGGTGCTGAGATGAGAATTTAATTATAATTACGAAAAGAAAACTGCTTTAGAATTGTATCCTCACACTTTTTAATCCATTATATTTAATTATTGCACTGACAAATTTTTAAATATTTAACTAATTAATACTAAAATGAATTTTTATTATATTTCTATTACTTACAAGTGTAAGAATGGCAACAGTTCATTTTGAAAGCAGAAAGGATCGTTGTTAGCAGACAACAATTTAGACACCGATAACAGTTTTTCCTTTATTCGCACTTCAGTTATCAGGAATTTTTGATTGCTTAAATTCTGATTTCAAAAATTCCAAAATTATTTACTTCTCTGCTTTCGAAAAGTTATTTCTTAATGAATTTGTATGCACATGTATGCCGATTAGTAAGTTTAAATAATTATTTCTCGTACTGTGTCCTTAAATATTAAAAGTAAAATTAACTGTGAGACCGTTTTTTAATAAATGTGACATTTTTGTTTTTCTTTATTCACTATAATGTTGAAATATGAAATTACTGACAGCTGGAATTAAAATTTTAAGTAAGTTTTCAGAAAATTTTTAAAGTCTTGTAATTTTATAAATTTAATGCTTATTTCATTATAATTCACGTTCTCTGTCCTTTTACTGTGAGAAATTAGAATTTAGTGGTTCGGTATCTCATTTCCTTAAGCGAATTAATCATATTGAAAATCATGATATTTCTGTAGCTGATAAGAGAATGGCAGGATTTGGCATCATCTTTCTGATAGATTTCTAAGAGGCTCTGCTAGTCATTTCAAAGTTATGAAATACAAAGGATCCTCTCCAAAACAACCACTCAAGGTTTCAGATGGTTCAGTGTTCCGTGAAGGTGGTCATGTTCGAGAGGTGATATTCAATATCAGTGTTTATATTATTAGAATCCTTTCAAAGGTGTTTGCCATAAGACGATTCACTGTATTATAAAACAGATTTTTTCTTCCCTATTAAGAAAGTGTGCTGTGTCTGACAAACAAATTTATAATAATTAAAAGGATTACTATATTTATTAGATTAGGTAAATATAAATGAATAAAGTCTTGGAATAGTGAAATGTTATTTATCAGCCATTCTTTGTTATATTGGATTAAGAGTTCATCAAATTATTTTATACAGTGTTGTTAAGAGGAAATTCAGTTTCTTCAACAGAAACTGTAAATATGTACAGTGTTATAGTTACTCATTTTAAATGATGAAAAAAAAAAAAAAAAAACTATTTTTTTATCACTTAAATGAAATGGCTGTTTGTTAAAATTTGTCAAATGTTAACTATTGGTATTCTATATGGTCTGTCTTGGAATAGTGAAATGTTATTTATCAGCCATTCTTTGTTATATTGGATTAAGAATTCATCAAATTACTTTATACAGTGTTATTAAGAGGAAATTAAGTTTCTTGAACAGAAACTGTAAATATGTACAGTGTTATAGTTACTCATTTTAAATGATGAAAAAAATACTATTTTTTATCACTTAAATGAAATGGCTGTTTATTAAAATTTGTCAAATGTTAACTATTGGTATTCTATATGTTCTGTTTTTGTTAAAGTTAATTGTGGCTTGATTGTTATTAATGTAGTGAATAAAAATAATTATTTTTGAACACCTATTATTAACTTTGAAATACTAAAATTGTTATTAATATACTAAAATTTATTCATGAACACTTGTAATTGGTATTTAGATATAGAAAATTAAATATATATGCAAGACAAATTGAAATAAAATATTCTGAATACAGTGACATATTCAGATTCGGCTTTGGCTGCCCAGGGCATTCTCGAAATTTGCCACGTATTACCGCCCCTCTTGGTATACAAACAAATAACTAAAAATAGTGTCAAAGTAATACGTGAAGAAATAAATTTAAACTCAATATTTATTTTTGAAGAAAAATTTTAATTCCAGCATTTTAAAATTATATTATTATTTTATTTGTGTTTTGTCCATAAAACCATTGATGACATCATAGGAATCTACTTGCTTGCTGTAGTTGCTGTAATGCACACATTATTAGAAAGATTTCTTGAATGCAAAATATTTTCTAACTGATTTTGACTTAGAAAACGCTTCTTACTATGTGCAGCAATTGTAAAGAAAGCTCATAATAGTATTGCAGTATCTTTGTTCTGGAGATTGTATTTTAGAATAAACTGCAAAAACACAAAAAGACTGACCTTCCATGTTCCTGTTTTATTTCGCTAGCAATAACAGAAAAAAAACTCTTGAAATACTTCTTTCTTAATGAGGAATTCTTTTCTATTAATGTCACCATGATCATAACTTAGTTCATATTCATAATTTTCAAAATTTACATAATTTTTCTTTTTAAGTTTCATAGAATAAAAGAGTATAACAAGAGCATGTAGCTGTTGAAATCTCATGGTGATTTCTTTGAATGCTTTGGCCGAAGTAAAACGTTATATTTTTTCCTCAATTTAATTATGGTGTACAATTCAGAATCTCATTATTTTGTACATACCTTGATAATCCACGTGGTTACTCTTAGAAAATAATGTTCTATGCAAAAAATGCCACACTGTGTGGATTGTACCCTCTGCCACTAAGCAGACTGTTATGTAACTATACAACTATCTGAATCGAAATGCTAAAATGTAAGAGTATTAGTCTAATAATGTATTACAGCTCTCTTTGATATAATAATTATAGCTACAGAGAAGTGAGATTCAGCTAATATTGGTATATGGGTTGTAATACATCTGAAGTCTTTTTTAATTGGATTATTTCATCTTCCTGTCGTAATTATATATTCATGCTTAATTTTTCTGAAGTGTACCATTCCAAAATTGTTAGCTGCCGTGTGATTCTTTCATGATACAAATGATGCATATAATTACATAACAGCACAAGTTAAAATGAAATCCTGTATCTTCAAGTATTCATACCAAAATTTTTAATCACGGTAAAAATAAAGCAATACTAAGTCCTGTTGATGATAATTTTAAATTTATCCCAGTAACATAGTCTTTTCTCCCCACCCCCATTCTTTTCAGTGTTAGAGAAACAATTTGGATTTTTAGGCTGTACACTTTTATGATGGGATTGATATTTGTTCATGTTACTTGTTTTCCTGCTCTCTGTGATGAACTTCTAATTTTATGAAAAATGTTTAATAAATAAAATACCTCTGCTGCAAAATAATGTTTCCAACCATAAGATATTTTTTAATTTTCTAAAAATTATTAGCCCTATTATTGTCATTATATGTATCATAATTTATTAGTGTATGTGTTATACTACTTTATTTTTTTATCTGTATATTGTATTTTTACAGAGGGTGATTAGACATTTTATGAATGATTTCAAGGCCATTTATTTAATGTTTAAAACAGTGGTTCTGAACCTTTTGACTAACGCATACCATCTAAACAAAAACTGAAAAACTAGTATCGCTGCTACATTTTTACAATTATTATTTTTCAATAAAAATATTTAAAAAATTATATTTTGCCATTTGCACAAGAATTGGCTATTTTTATTAAATATGCACACATAAAAATATTAGATTAAAAATTGGTTACCATTTTGATTATCAAAATTTAAGTTATTCTAAAATTTAGTATGAAATGTGGGCCTGTTTAACCCTCTGAACGGCCAGGGTTTTCACTAAGAAAGCACAAATTTCCCAAAACTACTATGAGAACAAATTACTTTTTTGATTTTAATGCAAAAAATCTCCTGATATTTTATACCTGGATTTGTTTTCTTTTGATATATTGCCTTAATTTTATTGACATATTTTAATATGCACGTATATATACTTTCTTACAAATATCACAATAAATATTCTAGGCCATATATATACAGCCATGCCGCTTAGAGGGTTAAGAGAGATTAATTTCTTTATGTCTGGTTTTATTTCACTTAGCTTTAAATTAGGATCCACTGTTAATTTTGTTCAGTGTTTATTTTTCAAATATAATATGGGAGAAAATCCTTCTTCAGACAAATAGCTTGTGCTAAAAGGCAATAAAAATTTAATAGCTTTATTTTAAATGCCTTTCAGTTTTTTTTCTTTATTTCAATTCTTTTCAGCCAAAAGTTAACACGTGTGTTATTTTTGAAATCGCAGGAAATTTCTATCAATTTTTCATTTTCTTGACGAGATTTTTGAATTTAATATTTAAAAATACTTTGTTTCTTTGCATACTACCTACATTTCTCTTGGGTATCACTGATTGAGAATCACTGGTTTAAAATGTAAAGTCTACTTTTTTAAATGTTCGAATGATCTTCTGATAGTCTTTTTTTTTCTGGGCTATTAAGTCTGCATTACGATTTTCACGAAAGAAGAACTTTTTGTAAAATGTCCAAGGGTGTTGATTTTTAGGTATTGTTCTGTTATCAGTGCCAGATTCAGAATCTGGAATCTGGTCCCAATAACAGAACAGTTTTCTATTCTTCTTCAACTATTTTCCACAGTTCGTCAATCATGGTGGATGTGTGCTTAGAAAAAGCTCTTTTCAAGAGATTAACACATTGACTGCCAGTCACTACAGTTAGATTGATAGTTATTGCCACCCATATGGATGTAAATTGTATCCAAATGCCAACATACTTATTATAAGAAATATTATTTAAAAATATTAATAAAAGATAATTATGTGATCCCTAAGTATTATTTAAGCCTTTTATTAAAGAATTTTTTAATTACGCGCCAGTGCATGATTGGCACTACATGTAAAAATTTTCTCCAAATGCCACATTATGCGCTGGCACATGGAATGCAAAAAATTAATTTAAATAAGAAAAATAAGTGACAGTACGCATTATTTTTATATCAATATGTATTACAGACAATTATACATATTACAAAGGAATTTATAACAAGAAAATTATGAAGACATTATACAGATGCATCTAGAATGTTATTTGTGTATTATCTTTGAACAATCTAAGCAGTACCCGGGAGATCCTTCACAAAATTTGCAAACATTTATTGTATCTATGTTTCCCTTGGGAATAGAAGCTTTCTTAGAATTTTTAGTCTAAAGGGATTTGAATCCCGAAGGACTATTAGTTTCGTTTTGGCATTTTGCGTCGGACGGATAAATGTCGGTTCACTTTTCAAACTGTTGCCATAAAATGTTAGAGTCCTGCATTATATTTGAAGAAATTAATAATGAAAATCTGCGTAAATGTATGTATATTTCTCACATTGTCATAAAATAACGGTACATAGAGTCATCGAATTTTGAATAACGTAATCCTCCAACGAATATGAGCATGTGGAAGACCAAATTTGAAATTTGTTTTATGATCGATTTCCTATTTTTTAAACTTTGACGAATTTTTGATTAACAAGCTCAAGGATTTCAAAGCGAGCAATGGCAACGTTGTGCAGAAAAAACATTTTTATCTCCAGCGCGTGAGTCTCTGTATCGGAAATTCTAAAGATATGCTCGTTTAAAACTATTTTGCGATATTGCTGTTGCACTGGATCTTATGGTTTAAGTGCGAGGAACATGATATTTAATAAAGAAAGGTAACACACAAAATGTTAAAAAATGCCCCTTTGGACGTAATTTAAAATCTGAAACATTTCAGAATTTTTTTTTTTTTTTTTCCTTCTTTTTTTTTTTTCTTCCCGTGTACTCAGCACATGTTCAGATTCAGACTGATCACACACAGGAGTACGAAGAATAGATGGCTGTTTTACTAAACTTCGTATCACGGATAAACAGTAGTCATACAGTGATGTATTTTCATTGGAATACTTATTATAGATAAAGTGGGAATTGTTCATCATTATTTGCAAAATATGCACAAATATTTTCGTGGGCTACCTAATTGTTTTTCTCTCACAAGGATAATAAGCAAGCATCTGATCTTGCTTATCAATACCAGCCATAAATTTATTATATTGAATTACAGGTAGAGGTTTCGATTTAATTTCACCTCTTTTGTTTGTTATTTCCACCATATCATTTTTATATTCATTGGAAATGTAAGTGATGTCTCTCTTATCCTGCCACTTTGCAATCATCACACCATTAGCATACTTTGCTACAGTTTGCCCTTTCTTCAGTTTTTTTTTTCCTTTACCTCTTTCGGAAATGTCTTTCTGTTCTTTCTGATTGTCCCAGTGCAATGAGTTTTTCCCATCAGCAAGACATTTTGTCAGTTCATAGCTGTTAAAATAATTGTCCATAAATATGCTATGTCCTACATCCAGCATTCCCTCGAGTAAATTCATAACGACTTTTTTTGCATGTTCTTTTCTACCAGAATCATCCAACATGCCTGCATATATCATAAATTTCAGAATCATACCATCAGGAGTTGTGATCATGTACAACTTGATACCATATTTGTGACGTTTATTTGGTATATACTGTCTGAATATAAGCCATCCATGCCACAATACCATTGATTCATCTAAACTAATCTCACACCCTGGGTAATATATTTCAGATACACGCGCGTTGAACAAATTCACCATATCTCTTACTTTATACAATTATATCCTTTGGAAGCTCTGTATTCTGATCTAGGACTTTGCGAAGTGCAATACCCTCAGTAACAACAAAAAACGATTCCTGCTCATATTTTCTGAAAATACACGTAAACCAAACAGTGAATCTGTTTTTCAGTAATCTTGTATATGGTTGATTTGTATAGTTCCCAGGTGTATGATCAATCCCACAAATAGAAAGAGTTCTTCTTTTGTGGTGCTCTTCCAAGCATTGATGCGAGAATGTTTCTTTTTTCCTTGCGAAGAAGTACTTTATGAGCATAATCATTAGTTGCAGCAACTATTTCTTCCAAGATACCATCAGTGAAAAAATGACGAAAGAAATCTATAGGATTGTTACCTGAAACAGGTTGGAGCAAACACTTGGATTTTATGAAAGGAAATTTTTTCATTGATGTTGAATCGTTTTCCCAAATAACGTTTTCTGCCATAGTTGAATCATCCTGCTGACATGCAGACTCTTGCACGATTTGTTCTTCATCATCATCATCATCAGAATCCAAAATATCCTGGGTACCAGTCGGAGGAACGAATTCTTCGTCACCGTCATAACTAAAATCGCTCGGGTTCACTCTACTCATCCGATAGACTCAGTCAACAAATTTGCTATTTCATCATCCGTAAGAGCCTTTTTATATTGAACTTTTCTTTTTTCCAGGCGCAAATGCCCTGCACTATCATCTCTATAACTCATACTAAAAGATTATTTTTTAATAAAAATAAAACAATTTCAAAACTGCGATTATTTATACGTAGTTTCTAATTTTCACTCCATGCCAATACCAGAAGAAATGCCCTGCATGCAATACCAAATGAACTGGAGAATGAATAACAGGTATAGGATTTTCCCGCGCCAGCGTGTGACTGGCTGCTGAGACATCAACCCACATCACGCGTTGGCGCATGATTAGCTCCTTGCTAATAACAAAACGTCACACACTGGCGCATGATTGGCAGTCAATGTGTTAAAAGTCTAATAGTGCATTTTATGAATGATTTCAAGGCCATTTATTAGGGACTTTTTAAGGGGTGGCATCAGGAAACTTGATAGGAATATTTTGAAAAGGTATATATGGAATACTTGTATCATTCTTCTTAGGTCGAAGGAGCATTAGCCAAGAATGGATATTAATCTCGAAATGGCATTTTGTGTTGAATCACTAAAAGTATTGAATTAGTTTTCAAATTGTTGCCACTAAATGTTATCGCCCTGCATTATATTTAAAGAAATTAATCCTTTCAAGATGCTGCATCTTCATTTAAAATGTTCCCTTGGGACAGATGAGAGTTGAAAGGAATTGCTCTACTAGAGATGGATCAAACCGTTCCTTTAAAGGATCAGATTGGAACCATTCACGTACTGAAGTGAATCAGTTGTTTTTAACAATTCACTACTCACTATATAAATTTATTGACAGGCATGGATCAAGAGCAGTGTGCGAAGATGGAAACATGCAGAAAGAATCGAACAAGGAGTGGGATCAGTGGAATCAACTGCTCACTCCGTGGACTGATTTCTTTAAAGTGTACTTTTAAGATTCCCTAAAAACACCTTTCTGCATAGAACAACAATAAAATTCTGGAATAAAAAAAAAATGCTAAAATTAGTTAAAAAATAATGAAAACTTTAAAACTCACTTTTGTTAAAGATTGCATTATTTTATTATTATAATTGATGTTATGTTGCTGCTACAAATCACAGTATAAAAATAAATATTTAGATTGGAGCCATATCCCAAAAAACAAGAAATTGTCCTTTTTTTTAAAAAAATTGTATTTGACAAAATAATACCAAATATCGCTCGAGGTTTTTCTATATGGTAGGGTCCACATTTTATTCTGCAACTGTGAGAAAAATGCATTAGATGGAAAAATTTATGTTTATAAATATATACTAACTCTAAAGAAGATTAAAGAGAAATTCACAGCTCTTGACTGCAAGAAGTTATTAAAATAAGTAAATAAATAAAAATGTAATTTATTATTTTACATAAATGTTACAATATTGTATAAAAAGGTAATATTTAATATACATAGCTATACTCATTATACAGTATTCAAAGAATCAAAATGAAACTCGAAGGAACAGCTCCAAGGAAGCAAAAAGAGCAAATAATCAAGACTTTGCAGGAGCCAGATTTGTGGCTAGAACAGGAACTCTGGAGCGATGAAAAGAGCGAATAATGAAGACTCCATAGGAATCAGATCCACAGCTAGGAAAAGGAATGATGAAAAGAGCGAATAATCAAGACACTGAAGGACCCAGATCTTCGACTAGAGAAGCAGCGCCCGAGCGCTGATGGCAGGGAATCCAAGAAAGAAACCGAATGCCTGTAATCTACTTATCTTGCACTGCCAGAAGGGCGGGAAAGACTCCATCCATTTGCCAACAGGGGTGGTCAGTTTCACTGAGATGCTTTGGTTTATTTAATGTCTTGTTTTTTAAATACTAGATGGAACACAAGCAAAGCAAAACCAGACATATATACATATATAGCGCACACATGCATACACATGTAAAAAAAAGGTCAGAGACGTTTTCGGTAAATAATAAATGAAAGAATGTTAGTGTTTACATAAGAGGAGTCAAATTTTGGGCACACTTCCCACTAAGAGTTTTCTGTGATCTGATAAAGAACTTTTGCTTTGTTTTCAATGGATCACTCGCTCAGTAAAGTAAATCGGTTCTTTGAATCAATTCCGGAGCAGATTGCCCATCTCAATATTCCACAGGATAGGGATTTTGCATCACTAAGCCAAACTTTTAAAAAAAATCTTTAAAAAAAAAAGTTTTAATGTCATAATTTTTGGTACTTATTACATAAAGTGTCATTTGTGTTAAAATTAGTATTTCATAATCTTTTCCCTTTACTTTACATGACAATTTATAAAAAAATTTCTAATTTCGGAAATGCTATTCAAATTATTCCAAAGTTTTAATTGATAAAATACATTAATAAACTTTAATAAAAAAAAAGTACAACAAAGACTATTTACTAGAAATAAAAAAAAGAAATCCTTCATGAGAACTGAAAGTCTCTGACAAAATATCAGTATGAGGATCAATAGAAATTTCGCTCTCTAACTCTTTAGAAAAATGACTGATGACTCTTATTCATGTCACTAATTGGCTCATTTACTGTGCGAATAATCCTTCATCTAATAAATAACGTGCTCACCATAAAAAACTGAAGTAAGAATTTCTGAAATAAAATGCAAAATATGAACAATAAAAGTAATGCAAAGCTTAATAGAAATTGACATAGTAACTCTAAAACATCCTACATAATAGCAAAAAAAGGATTCAAAGGGATATCAGAAATGTAAATGTTTATAGCATGTGATGAATTAAAGAGCCAAACTCTATTTGGATTATGTAAATGTTTATAGCATGTGGTGAATTAAAGAGCCAAACTCTATTTGCATTATGCATCCCTTCTTCCCCACAACAGCTGACACTAAGGTTATGCAGAATGTGATCAAGTTGAAGGTCAGCATCTTAAAACTGTATTCAATTTAATAGTAATGGACACAGTACGCCATCAAGTTGTCTTTAAAAAGTGCTTCCACTTAAAACTCGTATATGCATCAGCCGTACCTTACATTTGCTCTCCAATTGCACCTGGATGTAAGAGATGTTCATAGAAAATGCATATATGAGACGCCCGTTCAGAAAGTGTTAAAATAATGAAATCTCGGTATGTATGTTTCTCACATTGTGAAAAAACAAACAATGTAACCTAGAACCATCAAATTTTGAAAAACTTAGTCTTCCATCTGAATATGAGCACCTGGAAGCCCAAATTTAGAATTTGTTTTATTATCTATTTCATATTTTGTAAAACTTTAATGAATTTTTGATTAAAAAACTCAACAATTTTAAGTGAGAAATAGCAACCCTGTACAGAATGAAACATCTTTTTCTCCAGCATCCAAGGCTGTCTATTGGAAATTCTAAAAATATGTTGTTTTTAAATATTTTTTAGCCAAATGCTCTCTAAACACACTGGTGTATATAAATGAAAACAAAAAACACTTCTTTTGGGCCTAATATAAAATCTGAAAGTTTTTTTTTTGGGGGGGGAAGGAATACAGTGGTATTTTTCGGAGTATGACTTGTTGCTGTGTCTTGATAAAGTTTCCCTCTTTGAAAGTCATTGGGATAAAGAAATTGAATTTCTTCTATAAATATTGGACATAAAACTTTCTGTTGACTTGAGTTGATTTTTAACATTTTTTCCCACTCTTCTTATTTTAACCCTTTGTTGCATACAAATAATCTAGAGAAGTTAAACGAAAATGTTTGTATTTTTTCTATTTAAAATAACCTTAGTAATAATAAAAAAATTAATTTTATTCATATTTTGATTTAAATAATTGCTACAGTCTGTTCAATACAGTGAACAGCATGCATATACGTACATGCATACAAATCTCTTCCCAACGATTTACGGTCATTGCATTTGAAATAATTTCCTGCCTTGTTTGCAGTGATCATTACCATCTTCTAAATGGTAAATCTACAACTGACATGTATATACAGATCCCCCAAAATATCTTCATTTTGTCGATTGTGATTGAATTCATTTTGCTATGATTTTGTAACCTGTACCTATTGGATTCAGATATCAAGTGTTCTAGAAATTCCTTGCCAAACATAAACATTTTCAGTGGTGTTTTGGCTTGATAAGCAGTACATTTGGGTTTCAATGCACTCTTTTCAGTAGATCTTTATTTACCATTCCACAATTTTCTCAAACTGACATTTAAAATAAAATGTCTAAAATTACTAATTATGAATAAAAAATGGCAGTATAAGAAAATGTAAGCAATATTATATAATGTTTACTATGAGAAATTGTTCTAACTTGGAAACAGAAGTAGCTGCCCATTTTCCAAATAGCAATGCTTTACTTAGTGATGCTATACAACCATCTATGATCGACAGTTGGAAGTTCTAATAATATAGAATGAATAAACACAGGAATGGAATCTGTTAAGGCATTTACAGAAGAATAAACAAATTTAAACTTTTGTCTACTAGAGTGGACATAATACAACAAAGGGTTAAATTTTCCATTGTAAGAGAATCCTGCAGCAATCATAAACCCCTTACTGAAATATTCTTTGCATTTACAGAACCACATTTGTACAATTTTGTTCTCTTTTTTTTACAGTAATAAATAGATTTTTTTTGTTGCATTCATTTAAGTAAAGCCATTCTTCATTAAAGGTCACAATGTTTTTCCATTTATGTCTTGCTAAATAGTTTTCATACAGGGTTCTGCAGATTGTTTTTTGTTAAGCCACTTGCTTTGGCAAAAGCTGGTGAACATTATATATGTTAGTGTTTAAGTTGTAAATCTTGGTTTATTATTTTATTTGTTGTTGTTACAGATGCATTTAGATACTTTGCAACTGATTTTGTCATTGACAGATTTTTCTCTTATTAACAAAGATTTAACTTTAGAAGTATTTGAGATAGTACATACATTTTTCGGTTATTTGTTTGACACCTTCTTTCCATGTATAAGTAATGATTATCATTTCCCCCTTTAATAATGTTGCTTATTTTGCATTTAGAAATTTTAATACCATGCATTTTGCATTTTTGAAGCAGAGGCATAGCTACAGTTTTCTGCACCCAGGGAAGGGGACAACTAAAGATCTTGTACTCTTTTCTATGTTTCAAGAATGAAAACATTTTCAATCTAAAATTCTGTAACATCAATTTGGCACCCCTAGATGCTGCACCACCCTTGCTCCATCCTAGCTACGCCACTGTTTATAAGTATGGAATAGGAATATTTCTCTTTGGAAAATGCAAAAACATATCCTTGAATCCACAGCTTGTTTGCATGTGACATTTTGAAAGAGGAATAAATTTATATGTAGTAGACAATGTCTCATTTCAAATAATAAAAGCTGTTGCTAGAATTTTACTTTATTTAAAACATTTACTTTATTTAAAATTTTTATCAAAATCTTTCTAAAAATGTGTAAGTAGCCTCTATATTTATGTGTGTTTATATATATATATATATATATAATTAATGGAGAAAAAACTTAAATTAAGGTATTTCAAAATTTATTTTAAAAAGGTATAAACAATAAAATCCTGCACTATAGCTAGATTTAGATTAAAAATTTAATTTAAAAGATAATAGATAAATGATTAAATTATCTCCTGAAAATGTGAAAGAAAATTTAGATAGTAAAAGTGTGCTATTGTGGAAATCAAAAATTAGAATTTGTTATTTAAAAATGTTAAATTAATAAAATATTTATAAACACTGTAATCATGTAGGGGAATTTTTTCCACATTCCTGAAATAACTTAAGGTTTAAATTCAGGTATTTTATGAAATTGATTAGCAAATTTAGAATTGGAATATGGTTTCCATTCAGAAATATGAAAAAGATTAAACATAATCCTTTTGAATTGTTGGTTACTGTATACAGGCATTCCAGTTCCCCTTGAAAATATGGGATCTTTCTGTGGAATCAACAGCAATTTTAATTGTTTAAATTTCTCTTTATTAATTTAGCGTTTGTAAATTATAGATTCCAATTTTTACTTCCACAACAGTCCACCTTTAGTATCTAAATTTTGCTTCACATTTCCTAGAAAGTAATCTAATCATTTATATATTCTCTTTTATGTACATGTATACATATATACTTGTAGTTAAATTTCAGGAAATTTAACTACAAGTATGTAATGTATATAATTGTATTTGAATATAATGTATTGCATTTATATCTTATAATTCTGCAAATAACACATTTGTATATTTTATTTTTAGGCCCTTTCCTTCTTTCTAATTGAAAATGAATTATAATTTATGCTTTGAAGATATTAAAGTTAACTGGAACAATGAGGATTGATTTCAGGTAAATCTAAAAATTTAGCTTTTTACCTTACTTGCTTATGCTGTAAAAGTATAAATATGAACATTTATGTTTATTGCATTATGTATAATTTTATTTCAAATGTACATAAAATGATATTTCCAGTCTGGCTAAAGCATATTATTTTTTTGACAAAAAGCAAAATTTCAATAATAAATATGATATATAATGTGATAAATATAAGAAGTGTGCTAAAAAAATGCTAGGAATTTTTATACAGTCAAAAGTCGTTAATCCGGACTCGTCAAGACTTCGGTGATTCCGGATTATTGATTTTTCCGGATTATAGATCATCAGTTTAAATCTCGTAAGATGGCATGCAGAAATTCTAAAATTAAAAATATGAAACCGTAATTTATGAAATAAAGAACAATTATGATCTAAAGGGTATTAAAATTTACAAAAAAAAAAAAGCTTAATATTTATTTGTTTACTTTATTAAACATTTCTTTCAATGTAAGTTGCTTCATTTTATGTGATAATACTTTCTCTTTAATTCTATAAACAGACATAATTTCTTGTTCAGTTACAAAGTTCCGCTGTTCAAGTCCCGTTAATTGCTGTGCCGAGAATACCGACTAACTTGTCAATCGAAATGTTTTCGTTTTCACTAACCTCTCTGTCACATTCTTCATGTCTTTATCCATTTTTGCAGCAATTCCACTTTTTGTTTGATGAACATCGAAACATACTTTCGTTTTGTCCGAATTAACGACTTTTGACTGTATATAAGTATTTAAATTATGTTAAAAGTTAAATTCTATTATCCTTTTATTTCTTATATTGATAAGCAAAGCAAGTCAAGGTGCACCTTGGTGAAAATTGGTGATTTTTTGGTGCCATTCCTATTTACATCCAACGCCCTCCTTGTAAAAAGGCGTCCCAAACATAATTCAAACAAAAGGTAAAAGTTTACCGTTGTGTGCCCCTTGTTCTTTTGATGCCAAGATCGGCGGCAGCAAGGCACAGCTTCAAGATGGCCACTACAAAATCAAATAACAAGTATAATTGCAAAAACTTGGTGTCCATATACACATCGATCTATTTTCAATTTAAAAAAAAAAATAGGAGAATTGTTCAAACTCGGCATTGCACTCTGTCTTGACTTTGTCCATGCACACATCAATCTATTTTCACTTAAAAATCGAAGGGGCGCCCAATTCTTCACTAGAGCCAAACAAAAAGTAATCTCGATGAACTGCATTTTAAATCAAACAATGAAATAATGTGAAAAAGGGAATACATATTATTTCATATATGCACTACAAAAGGCAATATTGACTTACCTTATTTAGAAATTTTTGTGTCTTCAGTCTGTGCCACATAAAGTTCCTTAACAGCATATAAATCTTTCTAGAATTATCTGAACTAGAATATGCATACTGCCCTCATCACATAAATTCACAAAGTAAGAGGAAAAAATATCCTCCATAGTGCCGGACTGTCAGTGGCATTTCTTCTGAAAATCTCTTTTTATTACACTCCATATACTTTGTTGATATGAACTCCAGTTTCCGGATTCTTAAATGTCACTGTGCGATTTACTGAGAAGTGAATTAAGCCATTATCAAAAAGACAATCGTACGACTTCCAGCAGTCGGGTATGATCATTGTTCCAGGTAAAACATTACATTGAATTACATCCAATAAAGTTTCTCTTCTTCTGCCCTCAACCGCTTAAAAAAAAAAAAAAATCACCTTATGCTCTCTTGTTCTATACCACCAAACACCCAGTTTAACACTGGCAGCCATTTTACAATGTAAAGCAACATACTTCTTAACCGACATCAAACACAGAAATAAGCCCTTACAAATATTTTCCCATCAGTTAAATTCACTGCAATAACACAACCAATCACATCATAATAGGGTTTCCATAACATTCAACCACTCAGGTTATCATAAATCAAACAACAATTTGGCTATAAATGAAACAAAACTTTGCAATAATCCAAGGGACACCCTAAAATATAGACTAACCATATAAATTCTACTGTTATTGAAGTTAAAAGAATAATTGTATTTTAGAGCCAAAGATTAGTAAAATTATGCTTGCTGTGAAAATTTGTGGTTCTCTAAATTTTAATTGTTAATTTATGCAATTAATCCTTTAGTAGTAGGTAATATTAAGTCTGTAAATTTTTATGTGCTTTACTTTAGCAACAGCGCATATGAGTTATATATAGGAGATTACTCCACGTCTATATTATGTTCACTGTTCATACATTTGTAACTACTAAAGGATTGTGTTACAACACTTGCTATTGTAACAAGTAAGAGAAATTTTTTAAAGTTTATTCTATAATTTTATAATGAGAATTTTACAACATTGGATAAAAAAAGAAAAAGAAAAAGGTGGGGGTGGGGGGAAAAGTTAAAACAATAAGGTGCAATGCTGAAGTGTTTCACTAAAAAAAAAAAAAAAAAAAAGGTTTAGGTAAATCAGCATCATTATCTGAAAAGAATGAAAAAATTAGAGATCTAGAACTGTGTATAATGTAAGAAAAAGAAGACGACTAAAATCAAAATGAACAATGAAAAGAATTGTTTAAGCATTATGGAAAAAAAAAATGAGAACAACAATTATCAAAGAAGAAAAAGAAGTTGAAGGAAATCTAGAATAATATACGACAGAAATGAAAGCTAAAGTGTGATAGGTCTGTGTGGTCAATATATTTTACTTCTAATGTGCAAGATTTGATAAATTAAAAACATCTTGCTGTAGAGACATTAGGTTCTGTTGAAGCAGGAGACATGTAAAATAAGCAGTGTCCTCATTAGGATTCTAACCTGGACCTCTCAAATATACACTGAGTGTGCTACCCTTACACCATGAAGGCATGCAGAAAGGAGGGAGAAAATACCTTATGTACTCTCCCTTTTAAATGGCAACTGGGGATTAAGGGACCCACTCGCCAAATCCTAGTAAAGAAGAATCATCATCCACCACCTTTTTAGTTCGTTTGCCACTTTGAAGTAGGAAACTTGAGAAATGAGCAATGCCCTCGTTGGGACTCTAACCTGGATCTCTCGAATACACGCCGAGTGTGCTACTTTTACAGCAGAAAGGAAGGAGAAAATACCTTATATACCCCCCTTTTAAAGGCACTGGGGATTAGGGGATCCAATCACCAAATCCTGTTGGTGAAGAATCATCATCCACCACCTTTTAGTTCGGGCACCACTATAGAGTCATTGGGTTATTTTGAAGCAGGAGACATGAAAAATGAGCAGTGCCCTTGCCAGGACTCAAACCTGGACCTCTTGAATACGTGCCAAGTGTGTTGCCGCTACACTACAAAGGCATGCAGAAAGAAGGGTCTGCTATCAAGTGTATCTTTAATAAATGCACAGGAATTAAAAAGAAAATTACATGATTTAAGCAAAGATGTGTTTAATTGTATAAAAGTTGTTGGTGTATTTAATTATGGCAAAGCACACGAGGGCTATCTGCCTAAGGGGAGGGATGCCTTTCATGGAGGACTTTCTAAGGGAAACTGGCTCGTATACACGTTACACATGGGGAAAATCACGAAAACGCCCATGCAGCCAGCCCGTTCGCGGGATTCGAACTTCGGACCAAACTACCAGTGTTCAGCGACTTTACCGCTTGGCCGCTGGTGGGCCTAATTGTATAAAAGCAAATAGTAAATAAATTATAAGAAAATTGTTGTTGTACTGTAATAACAATAAATTAATTTTTAATTATATAGGTCATTTTTTTTAAAATAAAAACATCTTTTTTATTGAAGGTGCGGATATTAGAAGAATATTGAAGTAAAAATTTAACAAAATAAATCTTTGATTGAACACAAAAACTCCAACATTTGTAACAAAAAGTTTAATGTATGCTTTTCTTAATGCAAATATAAAAACTTTTTATACAGAATAAAATTTATTGGAAAAAAGTGTTTCAAAGAGCAATGTAATTATAAAATTATTAAGGAAATATTCACTTGCTTTTCATGATTAATTGGAATTATTAATGAAAAATTATGAGTACGTTTAAAATGGAAGTTACGAAATCAAAGTATTATGCCATAATTATTGATTACACAATATATATATATATTATCTGATATAATGCACGCTGATCAAATGAGTATGTTGTGCTATGTATAAATTATGGTCAATAAGTGGAATAATTCGCATAATGCGTTAACGCATGCGCTTAATACCTTTACACATGCGCATATGCGTCTACGCAAGCGCATAATATGTTTACGCATGCGCGTTTAATGTATGACGGACTAAGCTAAGCTAAAATTATCTAATTATCTATTTCAGATAATGTTGCAGATTGCGTTGTTCCTTAATCTTCTAATTGAATCCGGCTTATTATTTTTTGCAGACTGTTAGAGCAATTTTATAAAAGTAAGCTTGACTTTTCGATTATGTCAAAAAAAATTTCCGATTCTGGAGCTACCAAAGGATCTACAAAGCGAAAGCATGTTTCGATGTCCATCAAACAAAAGTGGAATTGCTGCAAAAAATGGGTAAAGGCATATCCTTTGATTCTCTAACCATTCCAAAATATGTTTATCAATTTCACGCTGCTCTGTGGTTGTGGGGGGAAGGGGGGGCCGTCGCGGCTCGCAGTGAACTGGAAGTTGATCTATCAGCACTATCGTTATCTTCAGGGCAGATGTTTTTATTTTATTCGGCTTATAATTCCTTACTAAATGTAGTATTTCATCTCGATGTACTCCGTCTTTGATATGATTTAAATCAAATTCCTCATCATTATAAATATCACGAATACACATCAAATAGTTTTCTGGTTGCAATTTTCTAATTTTGACTATGCGTAATGTATGCTTTTGTTGAAAGAAATGTTTAATTAATTAAACAAATAAATATTAAGCTTTTTTTTGTAAATTTTGATACCCTTTAGATCATAATTCTTTATTTCATAAATTATGGTTTCATATTTTTTATTTTATAATTTCTGCATGCCACCTTACCAGATTTAAACTGATTAT